AATTAGATAGATGGTGATCACACGATATTGGTAATATACTAAAAAACCACTGAATTGTACACTTGGCATGTAAACTATAGCTCAGAGAAGTGGATTATAAGAAAGTGGGGATGAAATGGGAGGAAGAAAAACAGCATTTACTACACAGAGTGGTGGTATAGGGCACAGCACATAGCTTGGCACAGAGTAAACGCTCAGTAAGCACTAGTGAGCAGAGACGAACACGGACCCGGCCGGATGGGCTGGCATCCTGGGCCCTGGGCTGGGTGCCCACAGATGTCTCCCTGGGTCCCCAGTGCTGGGCCAGCAGGTCGTTAGGCAAGCTGAGCTGCCCCCCATATGTGGATGGGGTCCCGGGTGGCTGTTCCCTGGCAGGGATGGGAGAGGGCATGGCCCTCCTCCCGCCTCTGTGCCTGGGTCCCTGGAGAGGGGGTTGCCCACCGTGGCAGGCAGACTCTGCCGTTCGCTCCCCTCGTCTCCCAGAGCACTCATCTTTTCCATGTGCAGCAGACCGTGAATTCACCTTCATACTAGTTACAGGGTTATTTAGCTTCTCCTGACACTGACAATCACCAAACTTTAATTCGATGCTTGGCTTCTCCCTGCTGTGCCCTCTGCCCACCCCCAAAATCCCTGGGAGAGGGTGGGAAGGACCTAATCCGGCCCCCTGTTGCCAAAGCTTGCCCTTCGGAGTGATGGAGTGACGGCAGGAGGGGGTGCTGGGAAGGAGAAGATGATGGGCAGAGGGTGGGGGCGGGGTGGGGGGGGACAGCGCGGGAGAGAGGAAGTACATCAGGGCTAAGGGGAGCTTCCGTCCCGCTCCTCCGGCCTGACACTAATGTATTCAACCCGGCGTCCAGCCTATTGTGAATGAAGATTCGGCTGACCAGGCTTTGGGTCTGAGGGCTGGCAGCCCCAGCCAGGACCTACAAGGCCGGGGCTCGCTGAGCTCCCAGGACCAGGCAGCCGGCACGGACTGGCTCCTTTGCCTGATTGCTGGACCAGGAGGTGCCCGTCCGAGAACCCACCTGAGGGAGCCCGTTCTCACTAACCTGAGAAGCCAGCTTTCGTTTTCTCCTGCCTCCCCCATGCCAGGTCTCCTGTGAGGCTCAGCCAGCCTGCCTTGCAGAGGCTCCTCTCTGGCTTATTGCTCTGCTGCCTGTATCCCCTCCCTCTGCCTCCTGAAGTGGTCACCATCATCTTTCCCCAAAGCCTCCGAGGCAAGCAAAGGAGTGACGGTTTGCTCTGAGATCCATCTGGTGGAACCAGGGGTCTCTCTTACTCCCCAAATCCAAGCTGGCCCCGTCAGCCACTCCTTAATGAGAGTCCCAGGAGCAAACAGCCGAGCCGAGAGGATCCTCCAAGACCAGAGGCCCGGTGAAGGACCCAGGCCAGGAGGCTAGGAGAAGCAGAGGCAGAGCAGGGGCAGAGCTGGGAGGAGGGGAGGTGCAGGGAACTCCCTGGGGGGATGGGGGGGTCCAAGCTGTGTCTGCTTCCACCCACCCTCATTCCCCTGCCCCACTCCTGCTGAGGCGGGGGGAAGTGGCCGTGGTGGCTGGGGCAAGAGAGATGTCACCAGGCCAATGGCAGAGAAGGGAGAAGGGGCTTGTTGACTGCAAACTGTCCATTATGGCTCAGATTATAAGCATATTGCGCAGGGCTCTCTGCACGATGCCGAGGAATCCAATACGCTGAAAGGTTAATGCAATCAATTAGGGTGACAAGGAAGTAAAGTAAAGCCTTCGGAGTAGATGAAAAGGAGAGAGAGAGAGAGGGAGGGGGAGAGAGCGTGTGCGCGCCGTGGAGTTGGGGGTGGCAGTATGGGTGGTGGGAAGGCCAGGAGGAAGAGAAACTAGTGGGATGCTGGGAGGGGGACACAGATACACAAAAGGCCAGGAGCCCAAGGAAAGAGGGCAGTAAGAGAGCCGGCAGCAGAAGCAGCAGGAGTGGGAGCCAGTGGACACAGATCTGGCCTCAGACCTCCAACTGCTGCCCAGCTTCGTCTTCCCTCCCCCTCCCCCGGCCTCCCTCCCCCGCCAGCTCCTCTAGAGCTTGGAGCCGGGCTCCCAGATCAGCTCCCGGCACCAGTAACAAGTCAGAGCTGCCTTGGTCCCTGCCCCTATACGGAGCAAGGGCCCACCACGTAACTTCCGGGGTCTTCTCAACTGGAACTACAGCCTAGTTCCCACCTCCCCCAGAACGGCCCACGTTCAAACTCAGACTCTTCCCTTGGCCTGCATCACTCCCAGCAGCACCCACAAACACAACCTTCATGACTCTCCCCCGAGCACCTAGTTCCTACTTGCAACAGCCTGGGAAGCAGAGAGCATGGTGCAGGATGCCGTTTGAGAGAGAGCGGTGCCCAGGGAACTTATGCGATTTCCCAGAGCCCTGCAGCAGAGGACCCTGCACTGACCTGAGAACCCCAATGCCCCTCAGCCCACCACCCGTGGGGCATTTCCTTCCATGGCGCCCACTGGAGTGAGGAGACTCTCGTTCACCAAGAAGTCAGGCTCACAAGTCCCTGGGCAGGGGTGGGGAACCCCTTAGAATCTGCCCAGGGATGGCTAGGGCTCTGGGAGGTGAAAAGCTATGAAGGAAGGAGGAAATGTGAGTTTTTCCTACCTGTCAGGCCCCAGGCCAGACACCTTTGACCACATTAACTCACTATTCCCAGTAACTCTGTCTGCAGAAGTAGCTGTTCTGGGGGTGCCTGGGTGGCTCAGTGGGTTAAGTACCCAACTCTTCATTTCGGCTCAGGTCATCCTCTCAGCGTCCTGAGATCCAGCCCCGAGTCAGGCTCTGCACTCAGCAGGAGTCTGCTTGGGATTCTCTCTCTCTCCCTCTCCCTCTGCTCCTCCCCCTACCCATCCCTCCCACAGGCACACTCCCTCAAATAAATAAATCTTAAAAAAAAAAAAAAAAGTAGCTATTCTGCTCACTTTACAGAAGAGGAAACTGGATGTGAGAGCTTAGTAAAGGCTAAAGGCTATGCAGGGCTCCTGGGATGGGATGCCAAGCTCTCAGGAAATGGTGGCTGGGAAGGGAAGGCAAGCCTGGACTTCTAGGTGGGTGGGACTGAGCAGAGAACAAGACCCTGAGGAGGGCAGAGAGAGAGAGGGCGGGCCCCTAACAGACCAGATCTGCAAATAGCCCGCAGCCCCTCAGAGCAATCCCATGAAAGACAAGAGCACAGGGCAGATGACAGTCAACACTGGACATACTTAATGCCAGGAAAATACACTTAAAAATGGTTACAATGGCAATTTTCATGTTAGATATATTTTGTCACTTAAAAAAAAAGAGCAGAGGTCAGGAGATAGCAAACTTTTGCTAAAGGGTTAGAGAGTAAATATTTAGGCTTTGTGGGCTAAACATTCTCTGTTGTAGCTGCTCAGCTCTGCCACTGTAGAGTAAGCCAAAGCCACCGTGGATATGCAAATGAGTGGGCGTGGCTATGTTCCAATAAAACTTTATTTACAAAAACAGGCAGTGGGCCTCCAGAAAATAGGATGCCATCCCACTGCCTGGGGACAGGAGTATCCAATCTAGACCTTGCCGAGAAATGGAGGGAAGGGCTGGGCAAAGGCCTCAGGTGGAAGTCAGGCTCTCATGACCGGCAGAGAATAGATAAAAAGAAGGGAAAGAACAAGCACTGATACGGGGGGACTAGATGTCCCAGAACCGGCCCCGGCACCTAGCCTGCCAAGAAGCCCTTCACTTTGCTTCCGATTCTCATGGATGATACGAAGGGGCAGATGGTGGTGACTCGGAGCCTCAACATTCTAGGAGTCTTGACCGCCACCAGAGAGGTGTTACGCTGTGGCTAAGAGGGGATGGGAGTGGGCAGCAGTGGGCCAGGATGGCCAGAAGGGACGCCAGGGGAGAGGGAGGCAAGGAGAGAGGCCCGGGGAGTGGAGCTGTAACCAGGGTGGAGCTGGCGGCAAAGGGAGGAATCTACGGGCCCCAGCGAGAGCGCAGGGCGCGGGCCGGGCCTGCCCTACACCGGCCGCCTCTGATCACGTTTTCAGGGCCACTGCCCGCAGGCACAGACAATGCTGGGGGAGCCTTTGAAGTCCGAAAGGGATGCCGCGGTGGGAGCAGCACGAATCTCCTCCCTGCCCCCCATCCTCCCCGGGGGAGGGGGCCGGCAGGACAAAACCCGGAGCCGGTCACAGCCAGGCCCAAAACGCGGGAGACAAAGGGAAAACAAACAGGTTTGGAGCCAGGCGCACGGTGCCCTGTCTGTCCCCCGCCCCGCCGAGCGAGGATGATGGATGGCTGCAGCCAGCCAGCTCGCCCGCCGGGCAGGTCCCGCTATTTACATAACACTGGCGTTCCACCGGTCACCTCTGACACCGCGCTGCCTGGGGCCGAGGCCTGGTGGCCCCCGACGTTCCTCGAGCCACTTGGGGACTGCGACAGCCTGTGGAGGCCCAGCCAGACCGGGGAAGCCCCGGGCTTGGGAAGGGCAGGTCAGCAGCCTGATCGGGGCTCCTCCCTACCAGCCACTCATGGAGGGGGGCGGAGGCCACGGGCCGGGTAGCTCCTAGGAGAGAGGCAGGGCTGGAGTTCTAGGGCTTTCAAGTCCACGAGGCTCCCCAAGAGCCACAAGCAGAGCTTCCAGGGACAGCCAGCAGCTGCTGCCACAGCGGGCAGACAGCACTGCAGAGAACTGGGGATGGCACCAATGGGCGGCCAAACCCTGGCACCAGGGATGCCTCTGCCCCACACCACCTCGGACACATTCCATGCCCACAGTCCACAGCCCACATGCCCCCCTGGCCCATTCCCAGCCCAAGAGCCAATCTGACATGTTCCTACTGGGGCCATCTTTTCTGGCCAGGTTCCAATGGGCAGTGTAGCTCCAATCCCCACTCTCCATCTTCCCAGTACCCCCGGGTGCTCCACGCGACTGGACCCAGCCCAGAGTGACACCTGTATCAGGTCACCAGTGAAGGGGGGAGGACACAAGGAACAGGGAGGGGTCTCAGGCTTACCTCGTAACGGGTCCTAGAGGCTCCTCTTTCAGAGTAGGGGCGTCACTTCATCCTGGGGAGGGAGAGAGAAGATCCCTGTTAGTCTTTCATTTCATTTCATTCATTTTCTTTCATTTCATTTCATTTCATTTCAGGCAGGATGCCCACAATTTCCCAGCGCATGCCCTCCAGCCTGCTCTGTGCCCAAGGGCTCCCTGCCACCTATGGGCCAAGGGGCTAATGCTCCAGGACCGGCGAAGGGGGTCAAAAATGGATTTTGGCTCACTTAAGTATATGGCAACCAAATTTTGAAAAAGTTCAGGAAGCATTAGGAGCCGATGCCAGGAGAAATAGGGTACTCGGGACACCCCTAACCAAAGAGAGAACAGCCAGACCCTACTGCACACGCATCTGCAGAGGCGGAGATAGCAGTGTGTGTATGGGGGGGGGGGGGGCTGCAGTGGCTAAACCGAGGGGCCTGGGGACCACAGAGCACAGCAGTGCCCATTCCTTCATTCTCTTCCCCAGCCCCTGGGAATAAAAATGACAGATGCCAAGCTGTTCACTACAGTAAGTGGGAGACAGAGGGGCAAGGGTGGACCAGGGCCCATGGCACCAAGAAGCCTCACCTCCCAGAAACAGGCTATGACAGCACCTTCTACCCTGAGGTCCTACCAAGGAGACACAACAACCCACGCTAGGGGCCCACGTAGGGAAGTGGACACGGTCCAACAACGTAGAGGATCTTTAGCCAACATATAACTCAGCCAAGCTTGCTAGGCTCAGACCTTCCTGCCCAGAGCTTGAGTTTGGGAGACAGACTCCTGATATGGATAGAAAACCCAAGGAGCCCTCAGTCCCCCACCCGGACTCCCACCTCCACCCCCCCTGCCCCGGGGCCTCAGAACCCTAACCCACACTCGGCAACAGTTTTCTGTTTATTACGTTTTTTCCTCCCCACTCCCTCATTCGTGGCTTATCAATGATGCAAGAGGAATAACACCAATTTCCTTAGGCTGTGTAATCCCCAAATCAGATTGGGGGGATTGCAAGAGGTGAGGTGACCTTGTACGGGGCTCCCAGAATGCCACCCAGTCCTGCGGCCCTCCCTCTCTTGCCCAGGACATATTTAGACAGATAATGCTAATTGTACTTGACAAGTCCTCCTAAGGAGGCTGGGTCTTCTGCCGGGTTTTGTAGCCTTTGTTGGGCTGCCTGGGCAGAGGTGCTTACCTGGGCAGAGCCCACCCTGCCAGGCCCAGGGCTCTGAGGGACGTTGGGCAGTTGGGGAGGCTGCTCCCCCTGCCCCCTGAGGGGTGCCTCCTAGGCCCACCTGACCCTGAGGGTGAGAGGCTGGGGGTCAAGCAGAGGGCTGGGCTGACTGAGACAGGGGGCAGTAGAGAGGAAGGGGGAGGCTTGTGAGGTGGGAGAGTGCCTGTGGAAGTGCCAAAGAGGAAGAGGCCAGAGAGGGGAGCTGGGGGACACGGAGGCTGAGCAGGGCAGGGCTGCAGGGCAGGGGCTGGAGAGCGCAGTCTCCGCTGAGAGGTGCTGGGCAGGCCTGGCAGAACCCGGCTGCGCGTCCATCCCATGTTCGCTGCCTGAGATCTCTCCGGGCGCCCTGGCCAGCCTCCCTTGAACCCCCAAAGCCCCCCAACCCCGTAACTCCAGTATCTCCCTTCCACCACCTTTTTCTCCCCTCCCATCCTCCCCTGCAACTGTGCATTTATTAATTCATGAGGCACTAATTAGTTCTTTGTTTAATTTTGTGTTAAACAGACTGACCGGAATGATAACGACTTGCAGCACGGTGTTGCCGTCCCCAACCGCCCCCGTTTTCTGACAACAAGGGAGCGAGGGAGGCCGGAGCGCTGAACCCAAATCCCTCAGCAGTTGCACTTCATTAAGTCAAAATGTGACAAGAAGCTTAGAGAGCAACTTGCAGATCCAATCGCACACAACAATCGCAGGAAACTTTGCGGGAGTTGGCCCCGGTGGAGGAGGGAGGGGGAGGGGCAGGGATGCTGGCCGAGGGGCCGGCCCTAGGTGGCGCCTCTCACAGGCCCCTGGGGCAGGTGGCCTGCCACACAGGAGCAGGGAGGTCAGCTGGGTGCATTCTGGAACCCCAGTGGGAGCCCGAGAAGTCCAGCTTTGCCTCTCTTTTCTTCCCGCCTGGGGCATCTTCTGTCTCTCTCTGCCCCCCACTGTCCCTGACGTCTGGTCTGGCCTGTGTGAGCTAGTGGCCGGGCACACCCAGGGCCCCACAGAGGACTAGAAGAGCTGCTGGGGCTCAGGAAGGGCTTCTTCAAGGCCAGGGGACAGATACAGAGGGGGAAAACACAGAGGAGAGCAGGCGCCCCCACATTTGGCTAAGAAAGAGAAGTAACGTGCTCAGGGATCATGGCCGACGTGTCTTTTCTCTGCCAGCTGTCCAGCCACCTCCCCACTGGCCCATTCACCCATCCGACGGTCTTCATCCTAAGTACTCTGACCAGGAAACTGAGGACCGAAAGGTTGTATTCTGTGCCGAGGCGCACAGCAAATCGGATACAGAACCAGGTCCTGGAGCTTCCAGACTGGAGGCAGGCAGCTGAGCTAAGCAGGCCAACAGCCCAATGACCGGCTCCCTCCTGTCCACGTGAAAAAGCAGAAGCTTGGCCCCAGAGGTGTCAAGCCGCTAAGCCCATTGGCCCATGGCGTGAGTGAGGATGGGTGGGATCGCAATCAAGCCAGCCCTGCCCCAGTCTGAAGGCAGGGCCCCTGCCCTCCTTTTATACCTGGCCCTAATTTCCACAGATGTGGACGATGTCTTCTGTGAATGAGAACATGGGAGGGGTGCGAGGAGGAGAAGAAGAACAGAAGTGCACAGAGAAAGTTGCCACTTATGTGCCTTGTGTGCCAAGAGTCTATTGCCTTCTTCCCATCGGCCACTGCGCCTGCCAGGTGTGGCCCGACCCTCGCTGTGAGAGCTGTCTTTCGGAGGCCCACCCAGCCGGCCCACGGGCCCCCCAGCTCAGCCTGGCCTGCCTTCGCCCAGCCAGTGCCGGAGTGCAGTGGTCTCTCCCCGAGCCTGGCAGCCCTGGGCTGGCTTCTGTTAATTTGCTGTCAGGCTGCCTAAGCAAACCAATTAAAACTAATCATTAATTATAAAAGAGAGCGAGAAGAGTAGAAGAAAGAGGAAAAGGTGAATGTCTGAGGTGGGAAGGAGGAAGAGGGAACTGGGAAGGAGAGGGGGAGACCCCCTGAGGGCCAGCGGGGAGCTCTGGGAGGGGGGGTGGTGGGCCGGGGAATGGGATGCTCGCTGGAGGCTCCTCCAGGCACAAGGAGGGTTGGGGTGGAAGGAGGGCTGGATGGAGGCCAGAGGGGCTGCCATGGGTGAGAGGGTGGAGGGACAGGCTGGGAGAGGAGGGAAGGGGCAGAGGGAAGGGTGAAGAAGCTGCTGTGCCAGGCATACCGGGACCTGAAGAGGCCTCATCCAGCTGCAGTCCCTTCTGGCTGGAGCCACCGACTATCATGGACTTGCCTTCGGAGTGTCTCGCCCACGGCTCCCCAGCCCCATATTTATGAGGCTCAGCTGATTATGCAGCACCAGGCCAGGCTCCTCGGCCCTGCCGCCCCTACCTGCTCCCCAACCCTCTCAGGCCACGGAGGCTCGGGGCAGCTGTCGGCCGCCCATCTACCCCCCAGTGCTGTCCCCTGCCCCTCCCCCACCCTCACACACACCCTCTCCACGGCCCTTTCACAGGGGCTGAGGCCATGTCAGCCGGCAGCTTGGGGAGGGGGGCAGCTCAGACAACAAGGGGCAGTGTCATGGAAACGGGCACTTTCCCCGAGAAATATTCTGTTTGGCCTCCTTCCTGCATTGAGGAGCTGTCAGGAGCCTGAGTGAGAGCCACACCACCCCGGGACCAGGCGTGACAAAACCTATTTTCTGCCTCAAATTTGATTGATTAAAAAACTTTTTAGGAAAACCATGTTAAAAGAGTGAAAGAGAGAGAGAGAGAGGGAGAGAGAGAGAGAGAGGGAAGGGAGGGAGGAAGGGAGGGAGGGAGGAATAGAGGGGGAAGAAAGAAAGAATAGAAAGTTCTGCCAGGGGAGCAGGGCCAGGGAGAGAGAGGCTGCAGGCAGGCAGGGGCTGAGCAGTTAGCCGGCAGACGCCCCAGGGCATGTGTGTCACTAGGACAGCCACAGACGAACCAGGCAAGACGGAAAGGTCAAAGGAAGCCCGACTTTTACACAGTGGTTAGCGGGACAAAGAGGGGTCCAATGGCTCTGCATAATCCAGCAGGTGCCTGTCTCCTCTTAGGGAAAGGGACCTAACACCTCAAGGCAGGCAGGGGGCAGGTGGGGCGGGCGCCCAGCACCAGGAATCCGAGCAGGTCCCTGGATTGGCTCTGGGGGGCGGGGGTGGGGGCTGGTTTCCAAACACAGTCTGGGCTGGAATTTGGCCAGAATCCTGAAAAATCTGTACAGGGTCAACAGGGAGAGAGGGTCTAGTCGTTTGGGGGCAGGAAAGGGGTTTGCCCACCTTGTTCTGTCAAGTCCTGGCTCAGGAAATGTGTTCAATAAATACATAAATGAAAAAGCAGGGAAGTACTCAGCTGACTCCCACCAGCCCCGGGGCCTCTCACTCGCCCTCTCTGCCTTAGACATTCCCTGCCCAGGCCTTGGCCCCTTTGCCGGATGCTGCCCTGAAAGGTCCCCATTCCTGGCTTGCCCTCTCTCTTCTTCCTGTCTCAGAAACTGAGACCAGCCCTGCCGGGACTCAGCCTGTGATGGGAGGCCCTGCCTTACCCTCTCAGGCTTCCAGAAGAGGAGTCGGCCTCCCCACCCCTCCTGAGACCCCACAGGAGGAAGAAACTCTTCCATTTCGTGAAAGCCCTGTCTGACCATTCAAGGCAGAAGTGCCTGAGACCTTCCTGGTGGGGCCCATCCTCTCCCTAGTAAGAGGGATCCAGGTCGGCGGCTGGGTTTGCTCTCTCCCCTATCTGACAGCCTTGAAGGTCAAGACGAGGAGTCATTCTGGCCAGAGTGTCAGCAAGAAGGTTTCCTGGGAGGAGTGCTCGGCAGTGTCCA